TTTCCCTCCCATATTTCTCAAAATTTTTTTTTCAGGAAAGATCCTCAAGTTGCTCAAGGAAGTCCAAGGGTTGACCAGACAAGCTCCCTCCTAAGGAAGTCTACTTCAAATTAGGGTTTCATGAAGCATCAAGATACTTGATTCCAAAGGATCCCTGTTGTACCTCAAAATTTTCCCTCCCATTTCCTCAACATTTTCTCATCACAAGACCCTTGAAGATCAAGATCCAATTAGGGTTTCCTCTGCTCAAGACTTCTCCTTGCACTGTTGACCCAAATTAGGGTTTGTGTTTGCACAAAGATGTTCTGACCTAAAATGCCTAAGATGACTTTCATGCTTCATATTGGACTCCCAAGTTTACCCATACCAAGTTTCAAGTCTTGATCCCAAGTTTTGCCCAGTCAATTGGACAGTTGACCTAGAAATCAGCTGTATTGGGGAAAAAGTCAACTATGGCCAATTGACAGTCAAATCTCATGAAAATTGACCCACATCAACATTATGAACTCACATGGACCATTTGATCAAGTTTGGATCACAACTCCACAAGAAATTTGATCAGATCATCAAAAGGGCAAAATGGTCATTTTTAGGGTTTTGACTGCACAAGGGCAATTTTTGACTGTTTGACCTAGCCAATGGCAAACCAAGCTCACATATGGACTCAAGGACCCCATGGAATTATCTTGACATGCTCAACAAGTTCAAAAGATCCCAAATACACAAGATTGATAGTTGAATTTCCCAGTCAATTGATCAATTTTGACTGTATACTGGAAAGTCAAACTTTGACTTTTTGGTCAAAATCAAGGGTCAAGATTCATTTTTCATCAAAACATGCCAAATCATGAAACTTGTTCACCAAGAAATCAAAAATTGCAAATTAGGGTTTGAAATGAGAATTTTTCATAACTTAGAATTTTTCTAAGTTATGAAAAACCCTAATTTTTTCCCAACTTTGCCCCACTTTCTCACCAAGATGCATTTGGATTCAAGCAAAAGTCAAAACATGAAAGTTGTAGCCTATTGCATAATCTACAACTTTGATTCACAAAGGTTTCCCAAAAGAAGCTTGTATCTCAAGTTACAATTTTTGGAATAAGGGTGCCAAACCATTCTTAACTTAGTGAAAATTTGACCTATTTTGGACAAGTTTTTTACCTAACTTCAAGACCATTTTTCATACACTTCCACTTGGAATTTCAATTTGCATTTCAAAGATGGATTGTAGTACACATTCCAAGCTTTCCAAAATGTCCAAGAAATTCTCAAACAACCTCATGGTTAGGGAGAATCGAATTTTGCAAAATGGGAAAAAGTCACTTTTGTTCTTGGCCAAGACATGTTCATACATTGGTGCCATTTTGAATTCAGAATGCTTAAGCTACATTGCAGGCCTCTAATCCCATTTTCACTCAATAATTCAATGCAAAACCATTGTGCCAAGATGTTGTTCTATGCATTTGGACATTACATGGAGAATTAACCCTTAATTAGAAAAAGCATTATTTCCATTTTGAAAAAGTAGAACTTTATGTCCATTTTGCAAATCCAAGTGGTACAGTCCAAATCTTCTTGGCACAAGTTTATGAGCAAATTGCACTGATCAAGGCCAATGTATGCAGCATAGTGTGAGGGCCTGTACAGGCTAGAAACATCAAGTGGCCTTTGCTTGCTTAAGTGTGAAGAAAGATAGCATAACATATACCAACTTCCATTCCTGCAAACCAGGCCTTAGAGAAAGTGATCACACACATTCTAAACATCAAACACAAGCTGAAGCACGACCCTAAGACCACCAATACCTCCCCATTGCCAAAATCACTCTCAAACTGCAAAAATAGAGCAACCTCTGCAGATTGAGTTCCAACTCTTAATCCTTTCAAGCATTCTTGCCCAAACCACTTCAAACACCTTCCCTACCATCAATCCAAACTATCCAAAGCATTATAAGCAACCTGTAACTCCTCTAATCCTTTTGGCCATTTTCACTTTTCTGATTTGCAGGTGAAGTGCTATAGCACGATTCAAAAGGTTTCAAGACAAAGTAAAGCTTGGAATAGCATCCCTGGACATCAAGGAAGCTATACCAATCATCACCTTGCACTGAAAGCTTCTCCATTGCCAGATAGAACTTCAACTGAACAGGTAAGTTCATGAACTCGTATCTCTCTTATTAGGCATTGTTAGCTTTAGGTTTGTGAAGAGAATATGTCACATTCATAACCCTGAACATGCCCATGTAATTAGATTTCATTTATATTATGTGTGCTGCAAGAATTTTGAGTCTGAACATGGCATAAAAACTAGGTCAGAAATTGGGGGAGAAGAAATTCTCCCTCATCTTAGAGAGTTAAGTCAAGTTCTTTACATGGTTGGATTCGTCTTCTCATGCTCTACATTTTTCATGTTGTGAGTTTTGCTTGAAAGTCCAGGAATCAAGAGATGGAAAACGCGTGTTCTGGTTGTTCATACAGGTCTGAGGTTGAAGACAAAGTCTTCTTGGGCTGGGCCTGAGTTGACTTTTCTATTTGCACCCTTTTGTTACTTTTACACCCCCAAGCCCATTTTGCTTATTTTTATGATTTTTTGACATTTTCTTTTTTGTCCTGACTCATTTATTTTTTCTAACAATATTAAAAATATCAAAAATATTTTTCTCACCATTTTTGAATTTATTAGGCATTTATTTGGTTTCTTTTAGTTTTTGTACATAAAATAAATACACAAAACCATTTTTTACTTAAAATATAAAAAAAAATGTAAACACATTTATTTTTCATTTTTTATTTTATTTTATATTCTGAAAATATTTTATACAAAATATACTTTTTTTTATAAATATTAAATATTATTATTTTTGTACATATAATATATATTTAGTAAATAATAATAATGCATACATATTTATTAGTATATTTAGGATAAAAATACAAAATATACACATTTTTATTTTTATTTAATATTTAATATAAAAATACCTTTTGACAAATATACTTCATTTTATTTTATTTTTGTATACAATAAATAAATACTTGTACATATTAAATAATTAATCCATTCTATTTAAGAAATTAGGGCTTTACCCTAAACATGAAAAACTCCCAAAAAAATAATACTTTTATTTTTGTTTATTTTGACATATAAAAATACTTTTTTTTCATACATACAAAAAACCATTTTTTGCATCTTGCATATTTATTCTTATTTAATTTAATTTATGCAAATTAATCATCTTGTAAATAATTCAATATTGATGTAATAGTTTAGGTTTAAATTCCTTGTCAAAATCCCCATTTGAACATTTGTACCCCCTCCCCATATATGGTTTTGTAATAGCTTAGTAAATTTATTTTCGCGCTTTATTGCTTTCTAATTATACCATGTTAGAATTAGGGTTTGTATGCGAAAAAAACAACGAAAATAGTTTTGACCTAATTTCAAGATAAACAAGCATGAAAATGGACACACAAATCACACTTGCACCCCCTAGGGTATTCCACTTGTTGCCTTTCAAAATTGGGCCATATTGCATGTTAGGTCTCTTTGGGCAAAACAAACACAAATCAAATGATCATAGTCCCTCGATGACGCTTTCAAAATGTTGCCTAAACAAATGATCAAGTCCCTTAAAGAAAATTGCCCAAAGATACTTGGCACCATTGCAATTATGGTCTAAACGATGACCCGCGCCCGTCCCTTTCACATCCTAACATGAGATTGTCCACCAAATATAATGATGGAACAAACTTGTTAAAAGGGTTAAAACATAGCAATAAACTTTGAGAAATTTAGGAGTAGATAACCTCTTAGTTACTTGAATCAAACTTGCAAAAACAAAACACTTGCCTATTTTCTAAAACCACACCTCACAACATTTTCAAAACAAACTTTCAAAAAACAAATGAAAACCTTTTCAAAAGACGTACATCTTTGTATACATCCCAACATGGATCATTGCAAAGGTTGCCACCACATTGGTTTCTTTTCAAAACATTTTCAAACCCACACACAAGCACCATTTCAAACAATTGAAAACAAGAGGCAAGTGATCTAAGCAAGTAACTAAGAGCCCATGGATAACCATGGATAGAAAGGGTGCTAATACCTTCCCTTTCTATAATCTACTCCCCGAACCCAAGAAAACATCTCAAAAGGTTTTTGCTGTGCTTTTTAACCTTTCCTTAGGATAAAATAAAAAGTCGGTGGTGACTCTTGCTCAACCGAAACATTTGCGAAAACAAACGCAAAACCATAGTCAGTTCTCCCACCGTATCACAGAACTGGCGACTCTGCTGGGGATAAATTTAAAAGTGGAGTAACCTTAGGGCTTAGATCACCTTTGTTTTCAATTGTTTGCTTTATTTGCTTTTATATTTGTGGGCTTTGCATCAGAGTTTCATAGATCCTAACCCGGATCTGGGGAATACCCTTTTTAGGTAGCATAATCTGTGAGGGACCTGTCCGGCGTAGACCGACATGGGTGAAGTAGTGGCTACATTGGTGTGGCACCTTGGTCTGTACCTGTATCCCTCGTGTTGCAATGAGGAGAATATAGGTCTTCTAAGGAGTCATTAAACACCAACCGACCTTAGAACCCTAAATTGACCAACTTGGCTATTAGGACAGTAGCAGTATGCTACACTCATTGAGGCTAAACTCTCGAGATGGTTCTGGCTGCAAGAAAAGATTGCGATGCTGGAGTTATGACCGATTGAGGGTAGCCAATGATTTGAGATCCTTTAGAACCCGGTTACTTTTGATAGGACAGGTTTTAACCGACTAAACTAAAAGAGGGTAACACCTAAACTTCATGCTGGCCTAAAACCTAAGGATTGTCTTGTGTGACTTGTGTGCCTTACCATGCTTGCCTATGTGAATACTCGTGGTGTGCTTCATCATAGCATCATGCCATCATACCATTGCATGCATCCTGTATAAAGGACTAACCTATTTCAAAGACAAAAAAGTTTCATCTTTGCTCTGTTTTGTAGGACATCATGATGCCTGTGCGTAGGAATACTATCCGGCTCAACTTTGTTCAACCACCAACTTTGCTCAAGGATTTGGTTGGTAGGATTCTAAACACCTCCTCCTTCATCAATAGGCATGGTTCTCTCCTTGGCTTGATCACTGCAAAATGGGACCAACAACTGATAAGTGTTCTGACCCAGTTTTATGACCCCCTGTATCATTGTTTCACCTTTCAAGACTTCCAGCTGGTTCCTACCCTGGAAGAATTCTCTTATTTGCTTGGGATCCCTGTCTTGGAGCAAACTCCATTCACTGGTTTGGAAAAGACTCCTAGGCCTGAAGAGGTTGCTGCAGTTCTCCCCTTGACCAAAGAAGAGGTATTGGCTAACTGGGAAACTAGAAGTGGAGTTAAGGGCTTTTTGGTCAAATTTCTGGTTGGCAAAGCTAATGATTTCTGGAATGACTTGGACTTCAAGGCGTACGAGGATATTCTGGCTCTTTTGATCTATGGTCTGGTATTGTTTCCCAATCCTGACACCTTTATCAGTATCCATGCCATAAGGATCTTCATGTCTCGGAATCCTGTACCCACTCTTTTGGGTGATATCCTGCCACAACTCTATGCTCGTACTGCTCGAAAATGGGGAACTCCATGGTGTTGTGCTCCTTTGTTAGTGAGGTGGTTTATTTCGCACCTTCCTAAGTTCGTGCTGAAGAATGAAGAAGGAAAGGGTTGGGCTCGTAGGCTAATGTCTCTCACTGATAATGACATCACTTGGGCTCTCAGAGGTTTGGATGAGGTAGCTGTTATTGATCGTTGCGGAGAATACCCTAATGTTCCGTTGATCGGTATCCAAGGAGGAATCTCTTATAATCCATGCTTAGCTCTCCGCCAGTTTGGAAGATCCAGAAGAGTTGGGCCTCATGAAATGTTGGTTCCTCACTTCCATTTTGAGTTTCAGGCAGACAGTGACAAACTACGCCATGGATTCATTCGGGCTTGGGACAGAATTCACAAAGCTGACCCACATGAGTTGGGACCAAAGACTTCTCTATCAATGGAACCCTATTGCAAATGGGTCTGCATCCGTGCTCAGAAGTTAGGTATGCCGTACAAAGCTGTCAGACCTATCATTCTTGAATCTCCTGATGAAGATGGGGTTCCTCCAACTGACCTCCCTCCTCAGATACCTACTGATTTTGACACAATGAAGAGATCTTGGGCGCAGCTAAAGGAAGAACGGGATTTCTATCGGGAAAAGTTCAACGAGCAGAAACGGAAGATTCAAAGGCTGACTAAGCAATTGGAGGAAGAGCGGGTCCTGAATAACTACATCAACACTGAGAAAAGGAGGCCATGGGAGCACTGATGGGCTTTGGATATTTCCTTTTATAGCTTTTATTTCCTTTCCAGTATTTTTCATTCCTGTAATGCTTAAGGGCAAGTTGTTGAACAATTAAAATTTTAATCTAATGAAGTGTGTTTCCCTTTTGTCTACAAAGTTGAATCTTGTTTGTCTTTGAAAACATAAAACATACGCATCTCATTGCACCATATGCATAGCAGGTACCCTATTTCACAAGTTGCTTAATCTTCTTCGCTGTTTATTTGAACAGTCATCATGAATCCAGACTCATCCAGTGAGCAAGCAATCAAGGCCCTTCAGGCCCAAAGTGCCCAGTTTCAAGAGATGGTCCTAAGCCTGGCCCAAGGTCAGCAAGAGTTGAAGACTCTACTCCTGAAGAAGAAGAAGAAAAAGAGGACTGCGTTGTTCAACACCGGACGCAGGTTTGGGAACACACTCCATAATGAAGCTGAACCAACTACTTCTTCTGCTGAGAAAAACAGTCCCCAGGGGGGAGGTGCTCCTAGTCCTGCAGTCTCTGACAACGAGACGGACTACAATGACGAACAATACCCACCTGCTGCTGACAGATACAAGCAATTGGAAGACCGCTTGAGCGCAATGGAGATTTAGAATGTGCCGGGGCTAGATTTCGGAGATTTGGGGTTATCTTCTGGGGTAGTAATCCCACACAAGTTTAAGGCGCATGCCTTTGCCAAATACGACGGGGCTTCCTGTCCAAAGCTGCATCTAAGGTCGTACGTAAGGAAGATCCAACCTTACACGGCAGATAAGAACCTTTGGATTCACTTCTTCCAAGATAGCCTTTCGGGGTCACAGCTTGAGTGGTTCTACCAACTAGATGGAACTAGCATCCGACACTGGGAAGATTTGGCAACCGCATTCTACAAACAATATCAATACAATTCTGATCTCGCTCATACGCGTACCCAACTTCAGGGTATGTCTCTAGGAACGAGCGAAGGGTTCAAAGAATATGCACAAAAATGGAGAGATTTGGCTGGCAGGGTGCAGCCTCCATTGACTGATTGTGAGCTGGTTGATATGTTTCTAGGGACTTTGTCTGGTCCATTTTTCAATCATTTGGTTGGTAATTCCTCCGCTGGGTTTACGGATTTGATTCTGACGGGAGAGAGAATTGAAGCTGGCATCAGGTCAGGAAAGATACAAAAAGCTGCCTCCACAAGTACTGAGAAGAGGCCTTTCAAGAAAGAAGCAAGTGCAGTCTATGGTCCTAGAAGACAAGTCAAGCCAGAAAGTCGCCAAGCCGTCAATGCTTTGGTCATTTCAAAACCTGTTGCCGCTCCTCAGCAGTACAATCAACAAAGAGGTGAAAGACCCAAGAGGCAGTATACTCGGCTGAGTATGACCTTATCACAAATTTTACCCCAACTGTTATCAACCAACTTGGTGACCATCAAAGAAGCTCCTAAGGTCGTCAATACTGCATCTCCTAAGTATAACCCAAATGCCCATTGTGCTTATCATTCCGATAGCCCCGGGCATACTACTTGTTGTACCCCAAAATTTGCCCTCCCATATTCATCAAGAATTGTCAAAGTCAAGGTCACAAAATGCCCCAGGGTTGTGCAGCTCAACTATCTCCTAGACAGTCAAAATTAGGGTTTGAGTTCTGGTCAAGCAAATGAACTTTTCAAAGGCCCAATCAAGTCTCATGTGCCTACAAAGATGGTCAAATATCCTCATGTCAAGTTTCAAGGCATTCAGCTCAAAATTGCACAGTCAAAACCCTAGATTGCACTACAGTCAACTGCAGGGGCAAAATGGTCATTTGACAGTCAAAAGTTCAAATTTTTGGTCAACATATCATTTTGAAGCCACAAACATCCTTTGATTAATGCTTGATCATGATTCTCAAAATTTGGCTCAGAAATCATCAAAGATGCAAAAGTTGCTATATTTGGACAGCTGAAAAAGTCAACTGAAATTGACCAAGGCATAACTTTCACATGGATTATCAGAAAAATTCCATCCAAAGCTCATTTTGAAGAGAAAGACATTTCCTACAATTCATCTTCATGTTCCAAGTCCAAGAAATGCTCTCACAAAAAGTTATCAATTTCAACATTATAGGTCATTTTCAAAAGTCAACAAAAAGTGACTTTAAGTCAAAGGCCATAACTTGAGATTGGTAAATCAAAATGACATGGGACCAAAGGCATTGGTTAAAGGACTCAAAGACCTTTCCAAAATGTCCAAGAACATGTGAAAAGCTTAAAAATTGACCAAGTTATGCCTTGTGGAAGTTGGGAAATTTTTGGAAATTTTTGAAAGTCAACATTGATGCAAAAGGCCTAAAAATGCAAATGGGCCCAATTTTCTTCCAAATTTCTTCATGCCAAGCCTATGCACGACCACTAGGCCCAAAGGGAAGTATTCTCATATTTTTTAATTATTTATTTGAATTAATATTAATTTATATTCATTTACATGATTTTAATATATGAAAAATATAAAACTTGACCAAAACAAATCTTTTTATACATGTTTGGATCCAATATTTCGTGCATATCCCATTTAAGAAAGTTTTGGATTGATTTGAACTTAATTGATACAAAAACACCATGAAAAAGATTGTAAAAGATACATGAAATCAAATATCCAAAATTCATCAATGCATAAGATTTTGTACAGCTTTTTCAACCTAAATCATTCCCTATATGATCAACATCACAACCCTAATCATCCTGGACGGCAAGCTGCGCATACACGAGCTTTGGCATTCTTGAAAATTCACAAAAAACTCAAAACTGAAAAGTGCATTAGAGGTCAATTCAAGCTTCGATTTTGATCCCATTAGCATTCTCATACATTCCTGGACATATTCCAACCATTGGCATCAACTCAAACGCCTTGAACTGGTATCTGGAACTCAAACCGTATCAAGAACATCTTGAAATCGCATAGCATGATTTAGACATCCTTTTGCATTTTTATTTGTATATTCTTACTCCTTGTGAAGTTTGTGAACTAACCATGATAGTTAATTGAATTTTTGTGGCATAAACACGAATCCACCATGTGCGTTTTCTAGGTTTTCAGGTTCTTGAAATTGGGGCTTTATCAATACCATAAAATTGGCCATTGAAACCACCATGGTTGCACTCAGCGTGTTCCTCTGAACAAAATGCATGCCTCGCGATGGATTTATATAGCAAGGAATTCTATTCGCTATTTTCTTGAATCCCTCTTTAAACCACGCATGAAAACCGTTGCCCATTAGTTCTGTGTTACAGGGGTGGTGAGGAAGAAGATGGCGTGTCCATCAGCCAGTGGTCCGTTTAAATTTCGTGCGTGTTTAACCAATTAATATTATGTTTCCTTTATATTATTTGTGTTATGTTATATATTAAATAAAATTGAACAGCTCAGTTGGCAAGGGAATACGCTTGTGACTTCAAAGACCTGGGTTCAAGTCCCAGGTCTTGCATATTTGCCATATTATTTTTCATAAAAGATTCGTATGCAGCGCTAACATGAAAGGCCATGATATACCATCACCATCCAATCACACACGTGTCCAGGAGAGGCAGACCAAGGGCTCAGATCCCAGGCCTATGGTGAACGTGGTCAATGCACTAGCACCCAATCCAAAAGGTCAACGAGCTTCCATCCTTATTGGGCTTAATCTTTGGATCAACACCTCCATAATGGGGCAGCACCCCACCCTGGTTTGATTATTTATTTTTATTTTTATTGTTTTAATTATTGTATTACTTATTTTTATTGCTTTAGTTAATTAATTTATTTTTTCTATAAAATATGAAAACATCTTAAAATCAGAAAATATCAAAAAATATAATATTTATTTTATTAGGATTATTTTCGAATAAACATGTATATAATTTAATAAATTAGGTCATAATTTAATTCTTTTTTAACAAAAAATGCAAAAAATACATAGAGTTAGGCTAATAAACATCTTTATTCCTTTTTAGTTTTTTTCCTTTTTTCTTCCACAGCAATAATTATTTATCTATTATTTTATTTTTATAATTAAATTGTACATAAATGAATTAGGGTTTAACTTAGATCATATTTTAATTCTTTCTTAATAATTAAAAATATTAGAATTTAGGGTTTACCGTTTAACCTAATTTCAATTAACTTCTTTTTCTTTTAAGTCTTAAAAACACAAAAACATCATTTTTATTTAATTTTTAACTTTAATTCTCATTAATTAATTATTCTTGCAAAAAAGGGTCCAACGCCCATTGTTTTAATTATTTTCTTTCGCGCTTTTATTTTATCCCGCTTATTCTAATTTTGTAATTGCCCCAAAGCCATGTAATTTATTTTATCGCACTTTTATCGCTTTATTTACTTTCAGTCAAATCGGGTCCGGTTTAAATTTTGGCGATGTGGACCCGCGCCTTTGTAATAGCTTTAGATTTACCTTTCCCGCAAACTTTATAATTGTTAAATATGTATGCAAGAATGAATGGACAAATTAAAACAAAGCGTAGAACACGACAAACATGACAAGACAAATAAACTGAAACATGACACACAAATCACACACCACCCCTAGGGTACGCCTCACTGTTGCCTTGCCTCGAAAGGTGATCGTCGAGTAGAGGATGTCTTAGTAAGTCCTCATGATCCGGGAACCTGGCATGAGGGTAGCTTCTAAGGTGTCTTCCCATTGCTCTGGTGATCACCATGTCCCGAACCTTCGAATTGACCCGAACACCTCCAACGGTGGTGCTACCTACCTCTCAATGGTGGGATGGCACTACTTTAAAGGACATCTACACAGACGAATTCCTTAGGGTAGGTAGGTTCTCAAGGATACTTGCTCTAATCTCAAAACAAACTCAAAAGACTTTTCACACTGACACTTTTCAAAAGCTTTCAAAGCAAACTTTTCAAACACTCTGACGTACGAGTCGATCTGAAATTTTTCAAAAGAAACTTTTAAACCCACATTGAAAAGCAAACGAACAATTTGAAAACACAATGAGCAAGTATCTAAGAGCCCA